CCTGAGCAGCGCCTGTACAATAGCAAGACCATGGGAGAGTATGCACTTGGCTTGCACTCAGCGTTTTTTCTCCAAATTCAAAAAATCAAACCCTTGACGAGCATTGGACAGTATCCTTGATCGTTCCGGCCTAGCAAATGTGCAAGCCAGGTTTGATTCAAGCCTCCGTGATTGCACAATTGCCTGCCCTTGGGAAAGTTTGCCAAAGAAATAGGGATCAGGGATCTTTCGCTTCCACCCAAAAGACTACCTTGTGTTTTTGGGCTCTTTTCTTTGTCGTTGAATCAACATGAAGGACTTGTGATCACTCCAACTACTGTTCTCTTTTGTATGAACCCAACCCATCAGCCAGGAGGTTTTCATAATCAATACATGTGCCATTCAATCAGTTCTTGATGCTTATACAACTTCGCGCGAAAGAACGTAAATCTGTGTGAACCCGTATGAAGAATTACTGAGTGAGACTCGAATTGATAAACTGTTGTGCAATCCCCTGATATGCAATCAAAGACATGTGCATTGTGGGTGTTTCAGAGCGGGGGAATTGGATAAATAATCAATATAAACCAATATACATATATCATATATATGATGCTAATTTGTTGGGTCCTCTTATTTTGAGACAGACCCAAGCTTTCTTTCGAACACAGTGATTTGGAAACATAAATTTGGTGTTTTATTTTTTCCCAGCCGTTCTTTTTTCAAATCGTGTTTTGCCTTTGCTCCTGTTTCTGCTTTTGCTTGTGCTTTTGCAGATTTTAACCCCCACCAAACTTCGCAAAAAGAGGCGATAGGTCGCGGCAGACCTTGTGCTGCGCAGCGTGATACCACAGGTTGTGAGCGCTGGCTGGCTGAGGAGCTGCAGGGCAGACATGCCGAAAGCACGCAAACTGCCAATCGTGGATAGGTGGGGGCTCCAGCCATAGAATATGCTTGGGGTAGGAAGGGGAGCATCTCAAATCATGTCAACAGAGATATCTGAAGCTTGGCGGCTTGAGAAGTGGGGGTGTTTGGCCGGCCACAGCCCTTCCTGCCACACTCAATTCACAGATTTACAGTACCTTTTTCCCACACGGCCTTGGGATCGTGGCAACACACTAATTGACAAGAAGGTCAGAAGGATGGAACGGCTAGAGCCAAATAGTGCGGACTGGGGCCCAATGATGAAGAGAGGTTGTTAAGTAGATGACTAGTATTGCATAAAAGGGGGCACAAAGTTGGTAAAGGTGGAACTAATTGGGAAGGTCGTTGGGCAAGTTTTGGACAATGGAATTTGCCACTAGTAGACTGTGGTGGAGTGCCAAGCTGGTACTCATTGGCCCTACTGTGAGAAGGTTGCGGAGCCTCATCCCATACTAAAATCCTTGGATGCGTGAATTAAGAACCCGCGGCCATCCAACGGTTACCAGCGCCGAACCAGCCAAAGCTAGTGTTTGAGGCTGGTGGGAGGCGCCCCCTTGCCACCAGCTGAATCACACCATGACTCTTGCAGGTTTGCGCTTGTTCTTTGGCTGCTCTTGGTGGCGGCCTACGCTGCGGCGGAAGCGGCGGCAGCGCTTGGTGGCGTTGAGAGATTGCCCGTTGAGCAGTGTCCTCACAACGATTAGCAAGCCTCTCCGCGCAAAGAGCCCAGCCTTTGGTCGTTTTGTTTGGGTTGTTTTTTTCTAAATTGGGTGGGGTGAATTGTGATCATGTTGCTTTTTAAGCCGGAAACATTTACTGTAGGTTGGGTTCTCCTTCCTATGCAATGCAACGGGGAACCTCTTTGCGCCCAACACAAAAATTTCTTTGAAGGACGTGGATGCAAACACAGACTCCATTTATGCTGTGATGGCCGAGGGCAAAACTTAGAGCAGGAAGGGCGCATTCCAATCTCCCTTTCTCCTCGTCTCTTCTCCGTCTCTTTTGCGCTCTCGTCCCTTTCTCCTCCTCTCCTTCTCTCCCTCCCTTTTGCTCCATATCTTTCTCTGCTGCCCCTTCTGTTTTGAAACACTCCCGGAAAAAGCCATGTACAGCCAGGAGAGCGATGCCGCATCCCGGGTCCCAGTTAAGGGTATCCAAGACTGAGAGACAAAGGTGTGTGACAGCATTTGCTTTGATGCAAACATACAAAGCTGCTGCCACGTTCATAGACTCAAGCGCAGGGCTTTGAGCAAGACGTCGCTGTTGTCAGTTGTCACTTCGTTTTCTTTTTGAAGGAGGAAAGCTAGACTACCCACAACTTTTGTCAACCCGAGCAGGACAGTCACATCACTCGCGAAGTTTTGAGTTTTCAACCAACAATTTTACACAATGCTTTGGCACTGGCCCGTCAAACCGCAAGAAACTGTTTCAGCGAACAAGACTAGACGATCCCCCACACAAGTCAGAATCCATGAACGCAAACCAGAACCTCAGAGAGATCAGTGGATGCCGGTTCAAATTTGTCCAAAAGCATCGGATTTTTCTTGCAGTTTGCAATCAGAATTCAAGTGGAAGTCTGTGCGCGTCACCGTTGGGCCATGGACAGAGCTTATGCTTGTGCTGGAGGATTGGCCTGCAAACCACTTCTTTGGATAGACTGGTAGATGCAGCTTGTATTTTCTCCCCAAAGCCCAAGTTCAGACCACAAACACCATGACGGGATTCTGTTCACCTTGAGTTAACATCTATCTATTGTCTATTGTTGTTTTGCCAGATTATGTGATTACATGTTGATATATATATATATACTGTAATGAAAATTGATTGTAAGTTGGAATCAACTTTATTTGGTCCCTCATAAGGCCCTCATACTATGTCATGCCTTGCAACTTGTTGCACCGTGGTGATGCAGAAATCCATCACTTGACTCAATTCGACCCTGAATGTGGTCTGAAAGAAGACAAAAGGAATGAAAAAAACGGGAAGGCATCCATATAATAGACAGGCATCATTTACAGCCTTGGCTTTCGTGTTGTGACGCCCTGAAATCACTTTACCGGAAACACAGTGACAAACCAAGACTAGCAAGACCTCTTCCTTGCTCGAACTGGTCACGAAAGGGCCTTTCTGGATTTGGTCCTCTTTACTAGAGGGCCAACTTAAGATGAGTGCAGCTGCTGAATTGCTGGTACAGTTATATACATATATATATATATGCACATTTTGGTGCCTCACTGTGAGGGGTATGGCTCCTGGTGCGCATAATGATGGCGAGGCACACTTTGGAAGAAGAATCTGTGGAACCTCCTGGACCTTTTTGTGTTCAGTTCCTGTTCCGATGTACCCACCGCGCCTTCTCCGAGGCGATGTCTGAACAGCTGAGAAAGCTGGTGGGCTCGAAGAGGGACCATCCGCCGTGGAAGGAGATCAGATTCAGGCACAGATTGCACAGGTCAGTGTGATTATCACTTCTACTCAGACTGTCTTGTTGATCTGGCAGTCTGCAGAAGCAATGCAGGATTCCATAGCATATGATGAGTGCATAAGTTTCTTGTTTAGCAAAGCTGAACCAGGATTTTTTGTCAGACTGTGCACATATTGGTTGTTAGTTTGAATCACCACTGGACGCGATGCCGGTTTTCCAGGCGAATCCTTGACCGATCATTTGATTGCACTCCTTCAAACCTTGGTGCGAAGGTTGTCAAAAGCTTTTCAACTGGAAAGAGGAACCTTGTGGGGTAATTAGTGGAGAACGTTCTAAGTTGGGACTTAGATGGACCTGCACATTTGAGCAGGGCATAAGATGGCGACACCATGGAATCGAAGAGGGCAAGCACGGTCTATCAAGATCTCAAGCGTGGAAACCAACAGAAATGTGCAACAAACACCCATCTGGCTCTCTGCTTCTGGTTCTGAAATGCCAGGTGTTCCTTCCACAATACCATCTATGACGTGCTCAAAGCGCGTGGCTTCCGAGAGACAGAGGCCATTTGATGCCACTCACAGCCATCGTGACCAAAGCAAGTGGGAGACTGATGAGTGGTTGGAGAGTGTATTGAAAAGCTTGCACGAGTGAAAGCAGAAGCAGCCTCAATGTATCTCTACATCTTTCAAATAGTCTCAATCTTGCCAGAATGACCTCGACTGGGACTTGTTCTGGTGCGACAAAGACTTGCTGGCGATGTTGATCGGAGCCTTTCAAAACCTTTACGGTGTGTTTACATGTAGAAACTGCAAAATGCAAATTGGATTCAAACTGGATTGTTGTTGATAATCACATCTTAGATGTGGGGATAGATTTTTCTAAAGTCAACTCAACTTGGAGAGCGTTGAAGACAAGGTGTGATCTTTCAGTACAGTGCAGTCTAGAGTGAGCAATTGTCAGACTGTGTTTGAATCTATAAAATTCAATTATATGAGCAAAACTAACGCAGCAAGGACCTTGACTTGTTGTTTTCTTGGCAATAATAGAGTCAGTTGCAGAAGGGCATGGGTTTGTCCAAGAGAACTGATCACCTTGCACGTTAGGTGCTTGTACTTATATAAACGAGATGATACAGTTCTCTTACAATTCTCCAACCAGACCCCCTACCAGAAACACAGCTTCCCTTACTTGCTGAACGAGATGAGGTTGCTACTTTCATGAATCAAATCAGCATCTCACATGCTTGAGTGTGCAAAGATGTGCTAGGCACCCTATGCATTGTGCCAGGAATGGATTCATGAGGCCTTTGATCATATCCACCTCCAAGCTCATCAGCAACTCGACCTGACTCCACTTGCTTATATATTTTAAATGGTTTTGGACTATCAACTCATGCTGGTTGAGGATCGCAATTCTAAGATTGACCAAGCCCAAGGCATGTGCCAAGCTCTGTCATGCAACGTATCTCGTTGGAGCTCCATGTTCCCCTTCTTTGTAATATTTCCCTTGCTGTCCACACTCAAACCTTATCAATCCACACTCCAGTTTCAGACAATAGTTTTGCAAAGGTCTCCAACAACGTGACACTGCGTGCTGCGACAGGCGTAATTGACAATCATTTGAAATCATTTACATTAATATTCTGAATGTTATATATATATATAAATCATTTAGCTGTGCTCGGCTCAGACAGTGCGCCCAAGATGGACGACAACTCCGAAGGAGATGTGCTCAGCCCAGATGCAATGGCCACAGCCACTGCGCCCTTTTTTGCGCTGGAGGCTGGAGAGATCGAGAATCGGCTACGCAAGCACACAATCGAACTCACTGAGCCTGCCATAGCCCGAACAGCGGCCTTTGAGCGGAAGCTACATGAAGTTCGTTTGTATACCGATCTCAATGCAGAAAACCTGAAGCAACTGCACCAAAAGCTCTCAGCTCAAGAGAACTTGAAGCTTACTGTAGAGTCCTTCAGAGGACAGCTCTTCGAATGGAATAAAGAACGTCGAGACCATCAAGAGCTAATGAATGAAAAGGTGTGCTTGCAAGAGGATGAGATCGGCGCCCTATACGGCAAGATGGAGTTGCAGACTGTGAGAACAGAGGCTTGTAATCGAGGACTCAAACACTTGGGAGACCTGTTGACAGAAACGAGAGAAGAACTGGCTGAACTCAGAAGCTATTGCTCCGAGCGAATTGATATCAATCGTGAAAAGATCGTAAGATTGAGGGAGGAGCTGGAAACCAAGCATTCCGCCATAGAGGTCAGCCAGTTCAAGCTCAATGATGATGTCACCAACATGACCACGGCATTTCAACATGTGAGCTCGGAGGTAGAACGGATTGGGATCAACACAGAGAAGGCGGTGGCAGACGTTGCTGAACTTTGCCGTGTGAAAGCCAGGATAGCAGGTGTCGAAGAGCAGCAGGAGACCTACTCAGAGTTTTCCAGAAGCTTGACAGATGCCGTTGGGTCTTTGAAGATGCAGCTGGACACCATGCTTACAGATGTTCAGGAGCACGTTGAGAATGCAACCCAGGTGGTGTCTGTATGTACGACCAAACAAATTGAATCAATGCAAGCTCAATATTCTGAAGATATGGCACGTATGGGCAGTATCATCAAAGAACATGATGCTCTAAACCAGCGAGCACCTTTTGACTTGCAGTTTTTTTTCAACATGTTTACATTTTGCATAACGCTTGTCTAAAGGTTGGTTGTACTTTTGTGCTAAATCTCTGTGCTTGCTGCCATTGCCTCTTCACAACGAGGTAAAAGAACAAGAAGACAGCTTGCAAATTGGTCTGACAGGTGTCCAACAATATTTTGGGGAAAAGATTGTGCAGATCGAAGACATCATCAATGCCAAAAAGAAGCAACTTGGTTTCCCACCTTTCATATAATGGAGTTGTTTTCTTCTGTAAATACACATGGACTCGCCAGCTTTACGGCTGAAAATATGTTTGGATGCTATCCTATGCATGCTAGTTGGAAGGTGTGTAGGCAGATTCTGGAATATTTCATAGCATAGTGTATTTTAGCATTTGGTAAACTTATAATTATTAACTACAAACATAATATGTGAAACATGTCACAATTGGTCCTGTGCGTGTTGATTGAAATCCCTGAAGCAGATCCGAGGCCGGACTTGAAGCAAGAGGAGTTTTTCCTCGAGGTGCAGCAGCTTCGCCGTGACTGCAAAGAAATTCGACAACAAATGCAAAGACATGAGCGTGCCCGTGGTTTGGAAAGAGATGCTATGCAGGCTATTGTTGAGAGCCAGCAGATTGCAGCTCAAATTGACTACCACGAAGACCAAGACCGACAGGAAATCTCGCTATTTGGCTGCAAGCCTGTCGACCGAGGAGACAGAAGCGAACAGCTATTGCCCAGCATCTCAAAAGACACTCCAAGGAAAAGAGAGACCGCTTCCTTGATATCGCTCGACAAGCGTTGTTTATCCTGCTGTGGGGGAGCTGGAGCTGTTTTGGCTGGCTTCAAAATCGCATGCTTAAACTACACGGCTGGTCCTGTTGAATACCGACAGACCATGTATTCTCGGGCCGAGCTGCTACACTTGCAAAGCAAGTTGGTAGACCAAGCATCTGATCGGATGGCCAGGGCTGCTAACGTTTAGCAAAAGGAGGGATTATGATTAAGGCTGCTCAGGCTTCTCAACGAGGCTTGTCTTCAAACCTTGTCAGCAGAGCTCGTCCTTTGTAGAACATTGTAGAGGTAGGACTGTTGACATTAGGGATTTTGAAAGTTGCGAAGCACCTGCTGTTCAGCTTGAAGACACAACTCAATCAGGCGAGTGAATCACTTTCGCAACCACTACGAGTTGACCAGGTGCTCCTGGGGCGTCTCTGCATAGATTTAATGATATCAACTTGTGTACTATTTGCGCTTGTACTTGTAGGGTAGGTTTAACACGGTTTAACAGATGGTGCTCGCAGGGGAACTTAACATGCAATGCGTTCCATCAAGCTATTGATTATTGATTTCTTGATGATTCTGAAGTTCACCAAGTCATTTGGCTTCAGGAATCTAATCATTCAATGCGTTAATGTTGAGTCGGGCGCGCCAGCCATAGATACACGGAGCCAACATAATTAAATAAAGCAAAACAAACGCAAGAAACAAGCAAAAGGTAAAGCAAACAAAAGGCAACAAAATGTAGCTGTGCGTGTTTGTCGCTTTTTTTCACTGTTAATTCAGCGTTTATGTTGCATGTTTTGTCGCTTTATTTTTGCATTTGTTTCGCCTTTTTTCTCGCATTTTTCCTAGGAGCATGCAGCAAATATTGCTGACGGGTAAAAGTTCTCATAAGTGCAGAAGTGGCACCAGGAAAAAAAAAAGCAAAACGAATGCAAAAGCAAAGCAAATTGCGCTGCTTTTGCATTTTCATTTGTTGTTTTTTTGGTAACTTTTTTTCCGCTATTTTTTCACACATTTAATTATTTGATGGTTGGTCATGTATGGCTGCCATTGCCCAACACAACGTTAATGGTTAATTAACGGAATCATTGATCACATTTCATCACCTGATGCTAGGAAGGATCTCCTTGTCAAGAACATTCGTCGTGCTCATCGGCAGGCGCTTAAAGCCGGCCTGCCATGCTTTACGTTGATTGTCAGCCGGTCATGATAGGAGAAATTCTTTGGTTGTATCAGTTGTATTTGTAGTTATATTCAAGCTGTGATGACCAAGTATATAGTCGGTTCTGACAATCAGAGAACTGCCTGGGCTCTTTAACAATTCTAGTTTTCCTCCTTTTTTAGGGAGCGTTTTCGGCTAGGCGCCCGGCAACATTGGGTCTCCCAGGTGGTTTTTTGCAGTATTCTTTTTCCGGCTTCCAGCTACAATGACAGGATGGCCAAACGGAAGAGGCGTACCTTTCAGTCCAAAGAATGCTGCCCGAAAAGAGTCGTACAATGGAGAAGAAACAAGTTGCTTGTGATGGATGCAAGCCTGACAGACATTTGAGGATTGCCCTGCTGGAACCACGTCAGTTCATCTAGTCATGTGTGTATGTGCCAATGTGGTTGCTGAGAATCCAAGGTACCGATCATAGGGCACGAACAGTAGACTTGCACTCCAAGTAGGGATGGACAAATAGTCGAAGATTGAAAATTAATTCGATTCCTCAAACTGACTTGTGTGCAAACTGTTCTCACAGGCACAAGGCTATGCTGCTTGCTCCCCGACGACCTTTGTGTTGCCCTTGGAGCACGGGGCTCCAGAATCTAGGTCTCAGATCAGGTGTGCCAATGCCTTTCATGGTAGTATGGTTGAACCAAAGAGTGGGAGGGTCCTTCTTGTCAAAGCTCTCCCTACCAAGAATCAATGAAGTTGGCACAAAAGCGTTTGAAAGTTACGTGTGTCCAAAAAGTCTAGCAACAAAATCATTAAGCCTGTGCCCTTCTGCGTCCAAGATACTAGCTACTTAAGTTAGTTAAGCCTAGTTAAGCACCTTACTCTTGCTTACTTAGCTACTACTTAGCTTATCTAGTAGTCCTCCTAGTAGTATTTACCTCCTTACCTATACTTAAGATTACTTAAGTACCTTACCTCCTAGTGGACTACTTAAGCTACTTGAGCCTACTCCAGCGGTCTACTCTCGTTTTGACCAAGCGAAGGGTTTCCTGGCCCACCCGAGTCCTGTGACTCACAACGACTTAGACCTATCCTTTGCAAAAAAACACATTTTCAAATCAAACAAACAAAAGAAAGAAAAGAAAAGGACACGGTCCTTTTCCTTTGGAAAGCCTTATTCCTACAAACCTATTTCATCCTATCCTATTCCCACGCCCTATGTCTTGAAAAGGAACGAGCATAATTTTCCTGTATATCACATATGTCACGAATGTTTATGGGTCCGACTGTGAGACTTTCTCGTATGCTTTGTTGAACGACAGCATGGGCTCCACCCATTCCTGCAAACACTGGGAGAGAATGGCTGGAGAGGTGACATGTTCGAAGTGGCACAAGCTTCGATGCCAATGGTAGTTGAATCGCTCACGGTTGCACCTTTAGGGCTCAATTTGAGACTGTGCAAGCGAGCTACTTTCCTGATATTAGATTCAACTTTGCTGATGACGAGGTATTCGATGTTTGTCGAAGAGCTATTGCCTCAGTCCCACCATTGGATTTCCACGACTTCCCGGCAGGGCACTAGCAACATTGCTTCCTTTGTGGAAAGTGCATTTGCATTTGCCCAAGAGTTTGGTAGATGCTCTCCCGTTTGAGCAGTACTCCGCACGGTTGACAGGAGAAAGCACCATGCTTGATAATCTTGGTAAGTCCGAAAGCACAAGTGACAATCATGTGTGCATTGTGCCCCGCGATGTAGCGGTGCTCAGTCTCTTTGGTGATATCTCTGTATTTTTCAGGACGCAAATCAGAGATAGTAAAGAGTACTTGTAGGGTTCCCTGGATAGTTGAGTCGTTCTTGTACCTATTTCAATGCAACTTGCACCCAATTAAATGAGGTTCAAGAAGCAACAGGCCAGTGGTACGATCTGGATCATGAAGCCCGTGGGGAAGTGCCTGACCTCAGCTACTAATTAGACACTCAACATTGTTTGCACAACAGCTCATTTGTAGCACTCATGCTGAAATGAACACGACAATTCTCAGGCTCCTCTTTCTCTCTTTTTGGCCAGTCAGTCTTGAGGTCGCAAGGTCGTGGCATTTTCCTCTTCGATCGACTGAGTGTCTTGGGCATGAACAAGAAATGTCACTGTGTGAGGTATAAAAGAACACGAAGGGTCTTGAGTCACTCAAGCTCCAGTCATGTTTGGGAACTCCTTCGTCATTCAAGTATTTTTGGCACAATTCCACCTTTTCAGAGCTATGCAAGAAAGATAAAGAAGACGCTACACATCCTGCTCGGCAAACAAGACCTTTAGATTTTGTTTCGTTCAATCATGTTAGAGCGTATGTTGCAGTGCTTTGTGGTGAAAACGCAGTTAAGCCTCATACTCATGAATGCAATGGGCTGAATCCATTGGGAAAGTGCCCTCATCATATAAGTGTTGAGACCTTCCAAAACATGGCTGCCGACTGGGTACATGAACGAAAGCCTTGATGCATGACCTCAGAAAGCCCATTGCTGGAGACAATCACATGTACTGCACCTGTTCTGAGGCCAGGTCTCCAGCTGGCGACAGGATATATCCAACCGTGATTTTGGCAGTACCAGCGACAGAGCCTGCTAGAATGGAACTTGTTCTCGAACACACCGGTGTTAATCATAACGGGTGTTAATCACAACCATTTTTTCGACCCAAGCAACTTTTAGATCAGAAGTACGAGTATCACACGCAGGAGGCCAATTTACTTGTCATCATTCTCGTTACAGTGTACCTCAGAGTAGATCAGATATCAGTGCTAAAATGTTCAAAAACTCACCATTTGCCAAAGTATTTTTTAAAAAACCTTCTGGACATATGTATATCATCGTCATATACATATATATATATATGGGCGCGCGTGCTTTTCGGGGCCCCCCTGAGAAGTAATGGATAAGATATAATACCATGAAACGCGCCCATATATATATATGCATATACTTCCACAAAAACATTGCACATAGACTGCATGAAATCTTTCATACGCCATACGCCCAGGTTCATGCCAGAGGAGGTTCATGCTATCTACAAGCGCAAAGCTGCATTGACATTCTGCATGGCGGATTTAATCATTTGCAGACAACCGCCCATGTCGATGGTGAGGACGTTATTGTTGCAAAGAGTTTTGGCCAAGCCCATTGGAATTGACACCGTAGAGTGGTAGAACTTGAGGACTGTCCAGGAAGCATGAGCAGATTTTTCCAAAACTAATTGAAGTACACAAGAGTCACCAAGAGCATCACGTGGACGGACAGATGCAGGTAGATGAGCATATTTTGGTGATGCCTCACTCATCACTGAACGAATAGCAGCCACATCCACATCAGACACATTGCGGATGACCTGAAAGAACTCCTTGAAGGACTTTTTGGATTTGGGCTCCACTTTGATCAGAGGTAGTTGATCAATGGATCAGATGATTGAACATGAATTGCTTCCCAGGGGGGCCCCGAAAAGTTCACGAGCCCATATATATGTGTATATATAGCCGCGATGATGACACTATATATATATATATTCAAGAGCTGTCACTGTCCAGGACCCAAAGTGGATGCGCCTGCAGAGGGAGGGAGAGCAAAAAACCACGAAGCAAAAAAGATGGTTGACACCTTAGTTGGAGCACATTGAACCTATCAGACATATTTATGTGTCGCTTGTCTAGAACACGGACCCTTTTGCAGGCATAGGTTTGCCCGGTTGACTGAAAGTGCATTGGTGATAAAGGGCATGATTTAACCAAGGCGATGAAGAAGAAGAAGAAAGGAAGGAAGCCGAGCCATATGTGGCGCTGCCTCCAAGACATGCTTTGAAATGTGATGGCACGAATTCAGGTTGCGAGGCAAACTACAATATACCTTCTCTGATTGCTTCACTGATTTCAATATAGTTGGATCTTCTTTGCAAATGGGACACACAGTAGCCAATCAGAGTTTGTCAACCGATCTTTTCTGCAACTCTCAGTAGCATGCTTCAGTAGATTGCACATTCTGGGTCGTGCGTTGAGTTTTGGCCC